TTGTTACCATAGCCGTTGTTGCCGTTGCCATAGCCATTGTTCGGGATATGAGGATCATCGCGAGCGAGGGGTTTGGTAGCGTGATTCAGGAGGGGATTGATGCTGTCGTTTTGTTCTGGACAACGTTAGTACTTTTTTTTTTTCCCTCATGAGGGTTGAAAGTCAAGTACCGTTTTGCGTCGGAGCAGCCGCGGCGAGAGCCACGAAGGGGAGGATGGTGGAGAGCTTCATGTTGAAGGTGATTTGAGCGGGTATTTGGATACTTTCTTCGGTTGTTAGGTTATTGTAGAATGAGATAGAATGAATTGAACTGTGATGAAGTAGGAGGATGGGCAGCTTGTTCAATCCCTTTTATATTTTCCTTGCTATACCGAAACTATGTCGTCGATGGACATCACGTCTCATGTTTTGACTGAGCTACCACAAGAAATCACTCATACAAACACCCTTGAGCTCCTGAGAGAACGCGTGGCTCACACGTATAGCTTCATCACAGAAGAAGGCAACCAGCAACCCGTATAACGTAGAAGAATCTGTTGACTGCGCCACAATGATCGACTCTCATGAAATGCATTTCCGTAGAGAGATTTCGATCAAAGCCACGCGTCCACCCCTTGTGAATCTTATTACACAGCGGTGAAATCATGGACATTTACGAAACCTAGAATTACAAAGATATCGGTACAGCTAAGTAATAAAAAGCGGTCTACTTCATGGGGTTGTGTAGTCATATGTTAAGGATGTGGGTTACAATGTCACCCATCGCGTGGATCGATCGCGAGAATGTGTAGCCCATCAGTTGAAAGCATTGATATCATAGGATGGATGCACTTGGATCCCTTGCAACTACATTGGCAGGAACAATGCGTGGTTCAAGGAGAGGGGTCACAAAGTTTGCTTACTCATAGTACAGAAAGATATTAAATCTAGAGGAGTTACACTGTCCCTTGCACTGTTATACGCAAGGGATATAGCTTCTTACGTGTACTGCTGCTAGTTTACTTCACAACGGGTTCCCCACAATGCTAGGCCGCGAGGCCGTTGGATGTTCAGAAACCATGTGCAGGAAGCTACGCTCCAATTTGCTGAAACATCAGAAACGGGAAAAATGTTATTGTCCAGAATTGCCTTTCCCTGACCGGATTTTGGTGGCGTTTCGGAGAGGCCGGGGTTCTCGGTAGGCAACTCATCGAGTCGGGTCTGAGGGCTGGATCAGGGGCTTAGGATCGGAAGCTCTCCTGAGTTCGAAAAGGTAAGTCCGGAGAATAAGGGGACCTTCGGTGTCTTAGTAAGGGGCCTGTAAGTCAGGAAAAATCATTTAGAGTTCTCGGGATAGTCGTTTGTGGGGTTTAAGCTTATAGGGTTATCATTAGATGATACATCACAGCATAGCGTTGGATTCCAAATCTTGAAGATCTGTGAGATCTACCCACCCCCTGGATCTGCCCTCGTTCCAGAAACTTTGATCCGAGCTGGACTGGGGTTGTCGAACCGTGCCGTGAGGACTATACTGAGCTTTGTCAATTGACGAAATTTTATATATATTCAAGGAAGCTTGAAGCAGAGCAACAATAAAAGTTTATTGAAACACAGTGATACGTGGTCTTTGACCGTATGAAAGCAGAAGAAGAATAACATGGTATCTAATGTAGTGAAGGCACATCGAGGCAGTCCTCATTCCTGGGCCTTCGCGTGAATGACCTTCTGACTTGTTAGGGTAAGGCCGTATTTTTTGGAGATCAGCAGTAGGCTCATGATTTGGATTTCAGGGTAGATTTTGGCCACCGCACTGAAATATCGAATGAAAATTTGGTCGATTTTGTGATATCCCAACACATATCACTTGTCTCTGTACTTTCATGGCTTAGTCCTTGATGATGATAGTCTTTTAGCAAGTATAAACTTAGACATCTAAACCCTTTTGCTTCTATAACACATCCTCTGCCAAGTCTTCAACAACCATCCGATGTGGTGTAATGGTTAACATCGCCGTCTCTCACACGGCAGCTCGGGGTTCGATTCCCCGCATCGGAACATTAATGGGCTTGTGGTTTAGTGGTATAATACTCGCTTAGCATGTGAGTGGTCCGGGGTTCGATTCCCCGCGAGTCCATCTTTTTGCTTTTTATGTTTTTAATATCCATCAGCTGGGATCATGTCACAGGCAGTGATTGTATTCTATCTCAAGAATTGTTGGTTACTTTCTGATGAGAGATACTTTACTATCAATTAATTATGCATGGGCCAATAATCAAGCCCGAGCTGCCAATCATTATGATCACTAAAGCAGCACCAACCGCCACATCACCGGGCACACTGCAGTGGGATAGGGCGAGAATTGACCAAGGACGCCAATCATACAGCGCCAGCTCAGCTGGCGTGGTTCATGGTAAACAAGGCTGTCAGCCTCGCTGCTAAACCACTTGGATGATAAAACCAACATTTGAACAGCTAGCTCCTCTTGTATTCTGCGCTGTTCTCGCGTACATCCGACTCACCACAATCGAAGTATGTCGACATTTGGGCGCATAATCAATGCTCTGATTTCCGGCGTCAACGAAAACAACATATCGCTCGCCACGCTGAATTTCGATTTCTCCCTGCTGAAGTTCGATGCGCCCAAAGAGTTCCAGCCACTTGGCTACTGCTACTACTACTACATCTACTTGTGCTTGTGATTATAGGAATCATAGCCCTCATCAAGACATTTTCCGTCTTAGTACAGCAAGGTTGGGTGATTGTTCAATCACTTGGATCAGAGGTGATGGAATAGTAGGCCACCATGCCCAGTAGTACCCGCTCCATCTTAAGTTAGTATGCCCCGCGGCACTTATGGACAGCAGCCTGTCTTCGGTTCCCTTATCTACCACGAGCCCCCTAACTTTTTCATAGTCATATTCTACAGTATAGACAGGATATAATTGCAACCAATATGAACTCCACGGATCTGGTTTCCCGGCCACGCTTATGTTCTTTGCCAACTGAGGTAAAGCAAGCCATTCTCTGTCGTCTTCCAGATTTACGCGCGCTGAAAGCCGCAATTCTTTCGCACTCAAGTATTTATTCTGCTTTTGTCAATGGAAAAGAGTTGATCACTACTCAAGTGTTGTTGAATTTGATCCCTCGTGAATTACTCCCTGATGCTGCGTTTGCCCTCGATGCCTCGTCTATTGAGGGCTGGACATGGTCCCGTGGAGCCACGACCCAGGATTGGACGCGGGAGAAGGTGTTGGCCATATTGGACCGACACAGGAAGTATAAAATCCCAAGATCTATCTCCCTAAGGGACGCGTTTTCGATGCAAAAGTTATATCAGGTCGTCGAAACTTTCACATCGGACCTCATTACTGCCGCCCTGTCAAGTAACCCTGCCTTGCCGCAATATCCACCATCCTCGCAGGAATGGAACCGGGTGGCAAGGAGCTTCTACCGACTAGAGATATATAGACACCTCTTCAGAAATAGAGATGACTATGACTATGGTGACAAGTTTGAAAGGCCAAAACCCGCACCTGATTTTCAAGACGAAGAGCAGTGGGATGTCTTTTACAAGCACTATGCTGTTTGGGAGTTGGAACAGCTTGCCACGGCCGGTGAATATCTGTTTCGAAGAACCGCTATCCGTAAGTTCTCTTCTGGCTTTCCGGCAATGTACCTTTATCGAAGATGCTCATGGGCTTTTATTTTTTCATATAGCCTTGAACGAGATTGCTGAGCATGATGTGGACTGGGGAAGCTCAGGGATAAATTATGGCATGAACGATGCTTGGGAGTTCAATCAGATATATGGTTACATACCAGGGCTGGTAGGATCATCTTCTTGAGAAATGTCCGATGCTTAGTCTAATGATCCAAAGCTTTCCAACGGCCTAGAGTTTATTCTTGAAGCCACCACAGCTCCAACGTACGAACAACGCAAACTACTTTTAAAACGCAAGCTCAAAGGGTCATATCCTTTTTTACCCGGCTTGCTTCAATGGATTTTCCAGGGGGGAGTTCAAGACTCAACTCCTTTGAAAGAGTATGCCATTGAACAAGCCGAGCTATTGCACATCCCCGAAGTACCCGAGCCTGATTCAGGACCCGCTGAAGTATGGAGGTGGTCGCACTCAGAGCTGAACTCGGAGCAATTTGTCTGGAGTGTCCATTGCCGTGAGTTGCGCGCATGGGGTTATGTCATGTGGGATAATGCGCGTCTCAATGAGTCAGGCATTTTCTCTCAACCGTTCACATTACCACCGCTTCCTGATGAAGAGGAGCTTCAGCGACGGAAGGACGCCACGATTGCGTCGATGGTGAAGAGAAGGCGGCTGTTTAGGGAAGGAGCCAAGGGTTGGTGGGCTGAAGGAGATGAATCTCACCTTGAATGGGGAAAGCCTCCTCAATTTTCTGATGATGAAGAGGACTGGGAGGAACAATTCATAGAATTGATAAGTGATTTATAGCGTAGAGAGACACCAATGTCTAGTGAGAAGACATAATTTTGAACCATATATGAAATGACAATTCGCGTCTTATTAATGGATACCGTGGAAAGATGACTGAGAGGGAGCAATCAGTGCACAGCACGCCATGACAGATTTTCTATCTCTATATTTACATGTACTAAGAGAACCAAGCGATTCGTTCTTGAATACATTGCACCTACCCTTCATACAGCATTTCAATCCACCTCGTAGACATCCGTCGACGAGAAGGGGATTAGCCGCCTAGACGACGTCTACTCCCAACCCTCACCGAAATCGGCGCACAGCCGCTTACAACCAGGATATCCAATAGAAAGAGTAATCATGATTATATTAAAGATACCTATACAGCATGTGAGGTTATCTTATAATACTCGTAAAATTAGAGTCTAAATTTCTGAACTATACTCAGCATATGTGGGGCAGAAGCTTGACATGTGACAGGATCTTAGCATGATTTTCTGAACCATGCTCATCTATAACCTGTACATATATCACATCCTTAGGGAAATACAGGGCATTACCAGATATGACTGGGATACACAAAACGAAAAAACAAAAACATACAACAGCCGGAATTTGCATGTGGTCACCTACCATAGTTACTACTAACTTGCAACAGCTAATCAGGTCTTACACATTGTATATCATATAAACCGATCTGCCTAATCCTGAATCAGACTCTATTATACAATAATTTTCTTCAGGATACCTAGCTGGTCTAGCCAGTAATTATCCCTGTTATCAAAATCTAAATATAGTCATCTCTTCTAATCAGATAATATAACCTGTTATATCTAAAATTGACATCATATCATAATTCCCGAGGTTAACCAGGCCGCGTGCTTCCAAGTTGAATTAGCGGAATTATCCAGATTCAGGTTTATTGCGTAATAAGTTTCTGCACCCACCCTAATCGGGTTTGGATTACTTCCGTTGAAGATCATCTTGTGATGCATGACCTGGACTATACCCGCGGGTACCTACACCCAATCAAGTAGCGCAAAAGGCTCCGGAGATATTCAAGCCCTTAAGTTGAGTGTAAGAAAGTTAAAGTCTTGCATTGCATACTATACAGAGAATAAATGATAAAATGATATCCACAATGGACACTCGCACCGGACAGATGTAGACTATTTGAGACTGGACTCCGTTGAGATGCATACCTGACGAGCATTGCGTCTCAACTCGAAGACCGTTGACATATGCCTCGAGTCACTAGAGTCATCTTGTAGCGAGGGGGTGGTCTCCGATCTGGGCTGCCAATACATAGCCGGCACTGTAGCTTAAATCCAACAAACTGAGCCGCGGTAAACGGATGGTCAAACATGGCTGTTGGTGTCGGATGGTGTCAAGTTGAGAGGTACCCGCTTGTGTGAACAGGGGGTGCGGATTACCTTTTCAGACACCCTCCGATCCATATCTATACACTGTCTGATTAGGCATCGGGAGATCGTACGGCCAAGATAATATCTGCTAACAACATTTGTGTAGCGTGTTATTACTTGCCAACTCGCCCCAACCGTCTTGCTCGTTGGGTGGTGAATCATTCATGCAGGACGGGAGACGATCAGCTTCGTGCCATAGATTCATAATCCGCCTTTACACGGCTCACCAATTGAACTTGCCTCCTTTCCAACAGTCATTCAAACATATTTTCATCGCTCGTGAGCCATGAAGATTCTTGCGCTGCATGGGATCGGCTCTTCAGGGGCAATGTTGAGGAAGCAGCTCAAATCTCTGATGGCCTTGCTGGGACCAGAATATGACTTCACTTTCTTCGATGGGACGGTCTGCTGTCCAAGAGGACCTGGTACGCATATATTTCACGTTCTATCGTCTAATTAAATGATAACACAGGTGCAAGGCATGCCCAAATGGTACGATGGGCCATACTACTCGTACTTGTCTGATCATACGCCCGCCGATGTCGGTGCGGTCCTTGGTGCCCTAGACGCCTTTATTGAAAGCAATGGACCATTTGATGGCATCCTGGGCTTCAGCCACGGGGGTGCCATCGCAGCTACGTACATACTGAACCGCCAAATGCAACAACCCCGTCTACCGCCCCAGTTCAGTTTTGCCATCTTCGTCGGTGCTGTTGGTCCATTTTCATCTCACCCGTGGATCCTTCAAGACGAAATTGAAGGACTTTTAACAAAGACCTCTCGGGACCCAGATGCTGGCTCTCTATCAAAGAATTTTGACCATCTTGATGATGTGGAGCGTATTTTCATGCAACACCTTTCCCTATATCGCTTAACTTACGATGTTTTGGGGATTACAATGCCATCCTTTCAGGTTGACTACCTCCACACCCACGATACAGACGCCGTGCCGCGTTTCTTGCATCCATTGCTCGTGGAAGATCGCATTGACATCCCTACAGTACATGTCACGGGAAACAGGGACATGGCTCGGATGCGGCAGCTATCTTTTGTGGTTCAAGGCTTGTGTGATGAGTCGCGTATGCGGGTTCATCGGCATCAGGGAGGTCACAGTCTGCCATTGATTGAAGATGAGCTACGGGAGTTGGCATCATCAGTGAACTGGGCCGCGACACAGGCTGTATCTAGATCTAGACTTTAGAACCTCGTTCAAATTGCCTGAACGATGCAACTTGACTATGAACCATGTCAATATCAGT